ATTATTGACAGCCAATGACGTCATTACAACATTTACATTCATTGAGTCATGGTCCCAATGAATTTACGTTATGGTATATACATATGTGTAAATATATATATATATGCCTCTTGAACTGTATATAACTACGCATTAGTATCGCGCGATACATATCTTGATTTAAAATGCTCGAATTAAAATAAATTATCTCGATGATAGTGTGTGAAAAGGAAATAAAAAAAAAAAAAAAAAAAAAATTAAAAAAATTTGTCAACGTCAAACAATCTCAAAATCAATTTTTCAATATATGTTTTTTTTTTACTTTTTTTTATTTATTAAATCGATTTGCAGATTTATTTTTTCAATTCATTAAATCGATTAATTTCATAACGATCGATTAAACAACTCAATCAATCAGATGACAATAATCGATTAGTCGTTTATAAAACAGTCGATTAGTCGTGTGTTGCAATCGATTTGTCACATTAATCGATTAGTCAAGTGGATTAATCGATTGTCTTCTCTAATTATTAATTATTTTTTTTTTTAAATCGGTATTAATTCAATTGAATTTTATTCTCGATTATTCGAATTTGATTATCGATATTATTATAATTAAATTAATCGAATGCGATTATCGATTACTCGAATGTGATTATCGATTAAAGTAATTGAATGCAATTATCGATTGATCGAATGATACTATCGATTAATCGAATGCGATTATCGATTCCTCGAATGTGATTATCGATTGATCGAATGATACTATCGATTAATCGAATGCGATTATCGATTATTTAAATCAGATTATCGATTGAACTAATCGAATGCGATTATCGATTACTCGAATGTGATTATCGATTGATCGAATGCGATTATCGATTATTTGAATCAGATTTTCGATTGAACTAATCAAACGCGATTATTGATTACTCGAATTAGATTATCGGTTAAATTAATCGAACGCGATTATCAATTAATCGAATGATACTATCGATTAATCGAATGATACTATCGATTAATCGAATTAGACTATCGATTGAACTAATCGAATGCGATAATCGATTACTCGAATTAGATTATCGATTAAACTAATCGAACGCGATTATCAACTAATCGAATGCAATTATCGATAAATCGAATGAGACTATCGATTAATCGACTGCGATTATCGATTACTCGAATTAAATTTTACTATTGAATCGAATTTGAAAAAAAAACAATTTTTTTTAGAAAAATTTTAATACTAGAAAATGGATACAAAAAAAATGTTGAAAATAAAAAAAAAACCAAGTTTCTTTTGCACAATCGTGCTGACAATTACAAATCCTTGTCGATTATACTGCGACGAGAATAAGGTTAAATAGGATCAAGCAAGACAAACAAGAATAACCACGTTAAATCAATAATATATATTGATCTCAAAATCAACGACGAGACCCTATTGTATACGTTTATATATATATATATGAATTAAGCTCAATGCATAATGTTTTAGGTATTACAAAATCATTATTTTTCAATTTTATTTCTTTACACAATTTTATTGTTTTTAAAAGTAGTAAATTTTCAAAAGTTTAAAAAAAAAACATTCTGAAACACATTTAAACTATAAGTAATATTACATGACATTAAATTACTTTTCTGTTAATATTACATTTTTTTGGGGGGGGGGGTTTGAGTAAATTGGAGATAGTAGTTTCCCATCCCTGGCGAAAAATGACAAATGACGTGAATCGCATCTAAAATATTATTATATAGTTCATGGTTCGATTGTCAACAACAAAAATGTAAGAAAAAAGTATAAGTATTTTCTTGAATTAAATAACTTTATAAAATATAATAATAATAATAATTATTATTATTATTATTATATACATTTCATATAATAATTAATAAATATTTTATAATATTATAAAAATTGTTTTTAAATTAAGAAAATTCTAACCTCCTAATTTTTCTCTTATTGTCAATCTTTAAATATTCGATAATTCTAACCTCAAAAAAAAAAAAATATATATATATATATATATATATATATATATAGTTTTCTATAATCATTTATAAATAATTTTAAAAACCTAACCTCTAAATTTTGAATAATTTTCTATTTATAAAAATTGTTAATTATTGCCAACCACGTAACACAAAAAAAAAAAACTAATAATATTCACAGTAGCGCGAAATTTAAAAATTATCGAAACTATTTAAATATGAAAAAAAATCAAGAACATAACCTAAAAATTAATTTTTTATAAAGGAAAAAAAAAATTAATTTTTAGGTTATGTTCGAGATTTTAAAAAAATAAACACGTCAAGATTATTTTTTTTGTCATTTTTTAATTTATGTACATTGGGTTAGGAATTTCAAAATTCTAACATCTAAAATTGGCGACAACACCGGTAAGTCTCGCATATATTCTACTTTTGTAAAACGTGAACCGGTTCAAGTTGCCGGTTTCTATAGTGGCGTTGACGCGGCTCAACAGGCATTTCTCGTATATATATATATATAAAATATAAACGCTACTTATGTTTGCGTGCCATGTAACGACCAACTACTGTATATAACACTATGCGTATATATACACAAATGCATTATACAAACTCCCGCAAATGCTCGCGTTCTTTTCCTTCATTTCACCGTTTTCGTTTCAAACTCGAATTAGCCAGACACGATAAGTGCGCCTTACTAATTTTTTTTCTTACATTTCTCTTTCCTTTTTCCTTTTTTTTTTTTTTTTTTTTTTCTTTTTTTGGCCTCCTTATGCAAAACTTATCCCTCTTCATGTTACAACAGTTAACTTCCGTTTTCTGACATTTTTTTCCCCAACCCCCCGCAGTTAATTTCAAAAAAAAAAATCTTACATAATTTTTTTTTTCTACTGCGCAAGAGAAAAATCAAGTATTAAATAACCGGTACCATTTTAGGACCGCCTTTATTGCCGTCAATTAAATTTTAATTGCCACTTTAAGAATTTTTTTTTTTTAAAATTTCATTATTATATGGACGCGCGTTTCTTTTTTTGGATTAAGCAAAATAATGTTGTTCCAAAAAAAAAATCGGGGAAAAATTATAGTGATGATGATAAAAAAAAATGTTCCAGGATGTTAACTGAAAAAAAAAAAATTATAACATATACGTGTGTGTGTGCTTAATCCCTTTTATCATAAAACCAACACACCTGGAAGGATACAGGATACACGATTTTATAATTCTATAAACTCGTGACATGTAATTTACAGATTATGATAGCTACTCAAACCTGCAAATTAAGTAATAGCCGTTGACGATTAAAAAGACCTTAACAACCGCACGCGATATACTTGTTTTTTTTTTCTTTTTCTTCTCTTTTTATTTCATAAAAACCTCTTCTTACTTAACTTTGTTTTTTTTTCTTTCAATTCCCCTCCAGGAGAAAAGTGTGTCCCTAAATCATTAAAAACAGCAGATTCTGATTAAATCCCTTTTTTGTCGCAGCTATACCATATATATATATATATATATATATATATATATATATATATATATATATATATATATATATATATATATATATACATTTTATAACATTCCAGTAAAATCAAGTTAATTGCAAAGTGTGCGGGAAATGAAAAAAAAATACTAAAATAAAACATTGAAACCAAAAAAAAAAAAAAAAGTTCCAAAGAGGGTAAATAAGAGAAAATTCGGATTTTCGACCTAACCTAACTTTCTAAACAGCAAAAAAATTTCAGGTAAGTAATTTATTAATTAGTAATAATTAGTAATAATTAGTAATAATTAGTAATAATTAGTAATTAATTTAGTAATTTAATAATTTTAATAATGTAATATTAATATTTATGAATAATTAGTAATTTAATGCTTTTAACTATTTTTCAGAAAGTAGCTGCCTATCATTGTTTGAAGAGAAACGAAAAAAAAAAAACCACATCTATACTGCGTCAGCGCAGAAACCATAATAATTTTGTTTTTAGATTACTTCATAAAAATATATTGTAAAAAAAATGTATTAAAAAATGTATAAAAAAATATATTAAAAAAAAAATAATAATAAAAATATTGTTGAACAATTGCATTCTGATAATTTTGGACAAATTGTTCGAATAAAAAAAAAATAGGCATTAGAAAACCAAATCGTAAAACAAAAACGAAAAAAAATATTTTTCGACTATTTCATTTTGGAACAAATATTTTTGTTTTCAAAAAAAAAAAAAAAAAATTTGACTTTAGAAAACCAAATCGTTAAAACCAAAAAGAAGACAAAATACTTTTTTTAAGCATGTTGGGAAGGTGTAATTTTGCATGAATTTTTTTAGACTCTGTAGTTGGGGTAATTTTGCATGAATTTTTTAGACTCTGTAGTTGGGGTAATTTTGCATGAATTTTTTTCACTTCAAACAGTAATATATTTCTATAAACTATTTGCACGTCGGTAATTTCGCACGAATTTTTTTTTACAAAGCTAAAGTACGCAACGTTTATATAAACGATTTTTAAAGAAATAATTTTTTAAAATTGTAAAAATTCTATAATTTTTTGCCTAAAAAATATTTCTTGTAGTTTTCATTTATTAACAAATTATATAAAAAAAATATTTTTTAGACAAAAATGTATAGAATTTTTCATTTTTAAAAATTATTTCTTTAAAAATCGTTTATATAAACGTTGCGTACTTCAGCTTCGTATTTTTTTTTTTTTTTTGCCTCAAAAGCAAATTGTTAGAAATTATTTTCTGTTTGTTGATTTAAAAAATGGTTTATATGCCTACTTTTTGTATTTTTTGCTTTGATAAAAATTATTTCGCATGAATCGTAAAAAAAATATTACAAATGAATGTTGAGGTATTGCATCTTAGTCGGTAATATTTTTTGGATGAAAATCAAGAATTAGAATGTATATCGAATTTGTAATGTATATATATATAAATATTTGAGAGATTGAAGTTACGAATCCGTGATGTGGGGGCGGAGAGGAAAAAAAAAAAAAGAAGAGAGAATAAAACGTGGTCACTCACCGGTAGCACGATGTGGCCTCCTCGCCCAATCGTCTTCCATAAGCGGCGCGACCCTGCGTCCGTGCAATGTCATCGGACGATATACGACCACCAAGAGTGTCAGAGGCACAAGACTCTCGTGAAGCAGCATCCTTCTTCCTCTTTGGGTGTTTATAAACTACCCTTTTTTTTTTTTTTACGCAAATTATAATCTCTTTTTTTTCCCCACAAAAAAATGGGTATTTTCACTAAGTTTTCATTTCAAATTGTTTTCTTCTTTTCTCAAAAAAAAAAAAAAATTCTACATCTCTTGTTACACTTTCTTTTTTTGCTTTCCTTAAAATTATTTTTTCCCCCTTTTCTTCTATTGTATTTCAAACACTGAATATTTTTCTCTCTAAAAAAACTCACTTTCACTAGCCGTGCACTATTTTTTTGCCTTCACTTTTCTACTTAGAATGATGAAAAAAATTTATTGAAAATTTTTAACAAAAACTAATGTTGGCATTTTTTTTTTTTTTTTTTTTTTTTTTTTTATAGGTCTTCTTTAACAGATGTTACTTTATAGATCTTCTTTAACAGAGACGCGGTTATGTGTATATACCTTAACGGGCATCTTATAATCCTTATACACCGACGTTATACTTTTATAGGTGTTCTTCACTAAAAATAATAACCAAACTATGCATATAGATATAATCCTTAATGGATATATATATATATATTAAATTTTGTAGCTGTATTTTTTTTTAAATTAATTTTATATGAGATTAATTTTTACTGTTTAGGTTAAACAATAATGATGTATTAAATTCTTCAACAGATGGTTTAAAATTATTTTTTTTTTGCACAAAAAAAATGCTGGATCAAAATTTTTCTAATTCTTCAATGCTTTATCAAAATTTTACAACAAATGCTGTACCTTTTGTTATAGGAAAATCTGCAAACAAATTCTGTACCTTATGCACTTAATTCTGTTATACCAAAATCTGTAAACAAATTCTGTACCTTATGCAATTAATTCTGTTAGCAAAATCTGCAACAATTTTTTCAACGACTTTACCAAATTCTATACCTTCTGTATAATTATAATTCTGTTACAAAAATCTGCAACAAATGCAGTACCTTTATAGTATAATAAATTCTGTTACCAAAATCTGCAAATGCTGTACCTTCTGTACTTAAATTCTGCGTTAGTAAAATCTGCAAACAAATCCTGTACTGAAATCCTATACTAAAAATCTTGTAACAAATTCAATATTTTCTATACCAAAATCTGCAACAAATTCAGTATCTTCTATACCAAAAATCTGCAACAAATTATATATTCCTTCTGTATCAAATCCTTCATTCAATTTGTTCAGCAGATAATCCACCTAATTTAACAGTTATAAAAAAACAGTTCCAAAAATTCTTTCCTATATCCAATTTTATCAGCAAAATCAGCATCCAATTTTTTTTTTTTTTAATAAGATGCCTCACGTGTTCATTCATCAAATGTAAAAATTTATTTATCATAAACATTAAATTGATTAGTGGATGTACTATCAAAAATTACACTCTTTACAACACCGGCACTAAAGTATTCCTGCATTGTTCAAAAAAAAAAAAAAAAAAAAATGGCACCACAAACCGATCAGTTAAAAATTTTCAAACAACGTGTTTGGCCTAAATGGTTCGATGGAAATTTTTTTTTTTTTTTTTTTGGCACTGGTTAATCATCTGACACGGAATGAAGCGACGCACGATGACACTTTCCCAACACGTCAATGGATAATATGTATATATAGTGTGAGAGAAGTTAAGAAAAAAAAAAAAAAAAAAAAGCGAACGTGTTATATGTGGAGAACCGGGCAAAAGAGAGCTTGGGATGCGAGTGCGCCTGAAGCGAGCGAACGACTGAACTGACTTACTGACTCGCGTGCGGTCACCGCGCGCCGGCCAGCGGCCGTCGGCTATTCCTACTGTATATATATATATATATATATATATATATATATATATATTTTTATATATATATATATATATATATATATATATATATATCGTCGTCTGCGATTCGCCATTACCACCTCGTGATTCCAATATATTTCTATCTCTCTCTTTTTTTTCTCTCTCTCTCTCCCCGGATGCAAACTTCATTTATCCGAAAAAAAAATCACAACCACCTAACGCACCTCAATTGTTCCAATATATAAGGGTTTGTATATATATTTTTTTGAAAATAATTTTAATTTTTCTTTTTTTTTTGCAGATTTGATGACAAAATGCGGTTTTAATTCTTCCAATATATAAGGGTTTGTATATATATATTTTTGAAAATAATTTTAATTTTTCTTTTTTTTTGCAGATTTGATGACAAAATGCGGTTTTCATTCTTCCAATAAGGGTTTGCATATGTATCGTTTTGAAAATAATTTTAATTTTAATTTTTTTGCAGATTTTGATAACAAAATGCGGAATTCATCATCGTCCTTGGATGCCGAAAGTACAGAGAGACAAATTCTCGCTATATACGAGATTTTGTTTTGAAGAAAAAATATTTTCTTTTATTCAGATAACTTCATGATAAAAGTATATACTTTTGTCCAAAATCGATATGGAATTTTAGTCGATTTTAGAACAAACAAACAAAAAAAAAAAAAGACTTCCAAATATTTTAACCTCTAAATGTTTTATCGTTTTAAACGCGTTACTTATTGAATTTGAATGTGGAAAAATTTTTATATCTCTCTAAATAATTTGAAATTCTATCTATATATTAAATATTTGGAAATTCTAACATCTAAATAATTAAAAAAAATTCTAACCTCTAAATAATTGGAAATTATATAATCTCAAAATAATTGGAAATTCTAACCTCTAAATAATTGGAAATTATATAACCTCAAAATAATTGGAAATTCTAACCTCTAAATAATTGGAAATTATATAACCTCAAAATAATTGGGAATTCTAACCTCTAAATAATTTAAACTTCTATAATCCATAAATAATCTGAAATTTTAATCTCTAAATAATTTTTTAATTCTATATAGCCTCTAAATAATTTAAAACTCTAACCTCGAAAGAAATTGTAATTCAATCTACTAAATTTTTTTTTTTTAGGAAAAGAAAATGGCAGAACTCCAAATATCCTAAACGATAAAAATTATAATTACACCTTACTTTGAATTCAAATGTTGAAAAATTTTTAATCTATACCTAATTTTTGTTCGAATAAAAAAAAAAAATAAGTCATTAGAAAACCAAATCGTAAAACAAAAAAAAAACAAATATTTTTCGACTATTTCATTTTGAAATGATAAAATTTTGGAACAAATATTTTTGTTTTCAAAAAAAAAAAAATATGACTTTAGAAAACCAAATCGTTAAAACCAAAAAGAAGACAAAATACTTTTTTTAAGCTATTGCATGTTGGGAAGTTGTAATTTTGCATGAATTTTTTTAGACGCTGTAGTTCGTAATTTTGCATGAATTTTGCATAAAAAAAATAATATATTTCTAAACTATTTGCATGTTGGTAATTTCCCATATTCGGAAATTCTAACCTCTAAATAATTTTGTAATTTTAGCCTCTAAACAATCTAAAATTCTAACCTCTAAATAATTTGAAATTCTAACCTCTCTAAAATTGTAATTCTATCTTTACTATAAATTTCTCCAATTCTAACCTCTAAATCGTTTGTAATTAATAATTTCAAATAACTATTTAATTATTATTAATATTTGTATTTTTCTATGTATGGATAATTATTTACAGAAAATTGATAATTTAAATGTTTCAAATAATTTTTAGAAAGTAGCTGCCCATACCTTGTTTGAAAACGTCGCGAATTACATGAAAAAATACATTTACATGAAAATTTTATATCAATGGTGATTTTGATTGTCATAAAAAAAAAAAAAAAAAACTGGCATATAAAATATTTTCTTTAGTTGAATAATTTCATTTTTAAAAAAAAATTTTATTTCCTAGAAAGTTAACTTTCCTAAATCATTGAAAAAAAATTTAGTTTTTATTTTACACGTTATATAATTTAAAATTCTAACCTAAAAATATAATCTATAAAAAATTTCAAATGCCGAAATTGTAACATCTATAATTTGAAATTCTAACCTAAAAATGCAATTTATAAAAAATTTCAAATTCTAAAATTCCTACCGATTCCTACCATATCTATATAATTAATTTAAAATTTCTAACCTAAAAATTCATATAATCAATAAAAATCTCTCTTAAATTCTAACTAATAATAATAATAACTAATAATAATAATAATAATAATAATAATAACCAATAATAATAATAATAACCAATAATAATAATAATAATAATAATAATAACTAATAACAATTTTGAAATTATTCTAACCTAAAAATCTCTCCCCTCTAAAAAAAATAGAATACTTTAAAAAAAATTCCAATAAATGCATCAAAATTTTAACCTCAAAATAAATAATTATAATTTTAATCATTCGGATAATTTGAATTTTGAAATAAATTTCGGGCGTGAAAATTAATTTGAAAAAAAGTTAATACAAAAAAAAAAAATTAATAAACAAAATAATTTTTAAAAAAATAAATAATTATACATAATTAATTATAATTAATTAATTAACTAATTATTTTAGATATTTTTTATATAAAAATTCTTTATAATAATAATTCATAAATGTATAAAAAAAATTTCTTTAAAAAAAAGAAGTTTTAAAAGTTTTATTAAATGTCATTTAATAACACATAGGCAATGACCAGAGCAAAACAAAAAAAGAATACATGTAAACAAAAATTCAGGGAATGTAATTAGAAATGCATATTGTACTGTAATTTAATTCGTGTGGTGTACATGGTGTGCTGACCTTTTCAATAGACACAATTTTCTTTTGCGCGCATTAAAGATAATGAAATAGTTAATACAGTATATATATATATACGTATATAAAACATAACAAGTAAATGTCAAACCTTAAAGTCGTAAAGTACAGATCGTAGATTTCCTGTTTCAAATTCGGTCGCTCCTATACATTTATATATATATATATATATACATACACAAAGTAATTATTAAAATCAGCAGTGCGTATATATATATTATTCGATCGTTATCATATGATCGTAACAAGATGTGTTTTTTTTTGTTACATATCGTATGTTTCTATCTGATTTTCAAGAGACGTTAATTGTTTCACAACAAGTGAAAGTTGCTCGAAAAAAGTCAAAAAAAAGAGAATTTTTGCATTTTTTAATTACTTTTATTTGAAGTTTTACATTTTTCAATAACGAAATTTTTACAAAAAAAATGTAGGAACAAGATGGGGTTAATGCAGAATTAATATAGGTTCAAAGTAGGGTTAATTTAGAATCAATATAGGTTTAAAGTAGGATTAATGAAGAATCAATATAGGGTCTAAGTAGGGTCTAATTTGAAATTTAAAACCAAACTAGGGTTTAATAAGGGTTTAAGTAGAGTCAATGTGGAATTAATTTAGGATTAATGTAGGGTTTAATTCGGGTCAATACGGAATCAATTTAGGATTAATATAAGGTATGTAGGATTAAATTAGGATTAATTTGAGATCAATTTAGGATTAATTTAGGGTTTAAGTAGTATAAATATAGGGTTAATTTAGGATTAATATAGGGTTTCAGTAAGGTTAATGTAGAATCAATTTAGGATTAATAAGGGGTTTATATAAGGTTAATTTAGGGTCTAATAGTGTCTAAATAGTGTCTAAATAGGGTCTAAGGATGGTATAAGTAGGATAAATGTAGAGGCAATGTAGAATCAATTTAGGATTAATGTAGAGTTTAATTCGGGTCAATACGAAATCAATTTAGGATTAATATAAGGTATGAAGGGTTAAAGTAGGATCAATTTGAGATCAATTTAGAATTAATGTACGGTTTAAGTAGTTTGAATATAGGGTCAATGTAGGAGTAATATAGGGTTTCAGTAAGGTTTATGTAGAATCAATTTAGGATTAATAATGGGTTTATATAAGGTTAATTTAGGATCTAAATAGTGTCTAAATAGTGTCTAGGTAGAGTTTAAGTAGTCTCTAAGTAGGTTTAAGTAGGATCCAAGTAGGGTCTAAGAAGGGTGTAAGTAGGGTCTAAGTAGGGGCTAAGTAGGGTCTAAGTAGGGGCTAAGTAGGGTCTAAGTAGAGTCTAAGGAAGGTATAAGTAGGATAAATGTAAAGTCAATATGGAATCAATTTAGAATTAATATAGGGTTTAATGAGAATCAATAAAACACTAATTTAGGATTAATTTTGGCTTTAAATAGAGTTAATATAGGATCAGTTTAGGATTAATATATGGCTTAAGTAGCGTTAAAATGGGTTCAATTTAGAATTAAATTAGTGTTTAAGTAAGGTTAATGTAGGATCAAAGTAGGTTTAATTTAGAATCAAAGTAGTATAAATTCAGTGTCAAAGTAGGTTTAATTTAGTATATCAATGTAGGGTAAATGTAGAATGAAAGTAGAGGTTTAATTAAGAACTAATGTAGTATAAATGTCGAGTCAAAGTAGAGGTTTAATTAGGAATTAATGTAGAATAAATGTAGAGTCTAAGTAGTATACAAGTAGGGTCAAAGTAGGATAAATGCATTATCAAAGTAGCATTAATTTAGTATCAATGTAGAGTAATTGTAGCGTCAGAGTAGGTTTAATTTAGGATTAAAGTACGATAAATCTAGGGTCAAAGTCGAGTCAAAGTAGATTTAATTAAGGATTAGTGAAGGACAAATTGAGACTAAAAGTAGAATAAATTAAGACTTAAAGTAGGATAAATGTAGGATCAAAGGAGGTTTAAGGCTCAAAGTAGGATAAATGAATAGTCAAAGTAGGGTTAATGTATATTATCAAATGAGGTTAAATTTAG